CACATAAAACGGCTTCTGTTATAGTAACGGCCTTTCCGTGTAAAGCACGCTTACCATAGGAAATTGAATAACTTCTCAACTCAAGAAGGCGGTAAAAACGTAAATGCGTAACTTCCAGAGATCCCGAAGATAAACGAATATTCTAAACACACTTGACAAAAAGCTAAAAAACGCCTTATTAATTTGCGCAATAAAACTTGTGAATTGAAAATTGCCGAGGTTAAAAATTCGAAAAACCCAGCATCCTACTAGCGATTTGTCAAATCCATCGAACTCGCAAGAAACCTCATCCTTCGGCCCTTTAGACAGAGACCGATTATATTTATGACGACAAAGAAAAGACGGACGTGTTCTTGCGAAGTTTAATTAGTAACTGTCCAATCACAAAAAAAGTAGTTCCTGAGACCCGAAAATAGCGCAACTTGCAGTAACATTGCTCCAAATTTAACTTGCGAATATAGCGAAACGAAAGAAGTGAAAAAAATTAATTATAAACCTGCGTACTAAAAAAGGGTCTGGTCCTGACGGCGGACCAAAGACATGCATAAACACTTGCCAGAGACAGCTATAACTGCCTTTGTTTCACTTATTAACTATTCTTTTGAGTCATGTACATTTCCTGGACGATGGAAAATGGCAGCAGGCGTGTGCATTCCTAAATTAAAGTGATCTTCAAAACTTAAAGACTACCCAAGTCTTTCTCATCTATTGGCAAAATAACTGAATCTGTAATACTTGCACCATTGCAAAATTTTGTGGAAAGTACTGGTTGTATATCAGAATTTCAGTTTGGATTCTGACGAGGTCGCTCTACTACGCAGCAGCTTGTTCTTCTGAACACGTCACAAAAGGTTTAATAACAATAAGTCGACATGCGCATTATTTCTAGGTGTCGAAAAAGCATTCGACAGGGTATGGCACGAGGACCTTTTTTTGAAACTATCCATCCTGAAGAAACCAGATTATCTTCTTTTGATTCTCCAATCTTTGCTGCACCTAAGGACATTTTATGTAAGAGTGGCAAAAGCTAGTTTAAACGAACTGACTAGGGGAGCCCCACAAGGATCGCTGCTACCTCCCATCTTATTTGCTTTATACATCCAGGACATACCCAGGTCCCAGAGTGCCTCTACTTTTTGTCATAGTTTGTGGACGATACGGCTGCCTATGCCTGCGCCAAATTTCCCTCTAGCTTTAAATCACGTGCAAACGTATGTTTCCGCTCTTGAGGTATGATTGAGAAGTGGCAAATTACAGTTACTCCCTTAAGAGCAAAGCTATATTTGTATCGAAGATGAGACATATAACGACACCTGCGCAAAAGTCGCCGCTTTGGTCTCTGACAGCAGAGCCCTTCAGGCATTACTTCTCTCGCCCCTTTTATTTGCAGTTTATAGGAGCGACGTGCCCTTGCCATCCGACTCACACACACGAATCGCCCTCTACGCTGATGATACGACTGTATATTCCACGAATTCTTCAGCCTTGCTATGGAAGCAGCTACAGGGTTATCTTTACGCCCTTACCGGCTGGTGCTATGATTGGAAGGTTACTAAAAATGCGATGAAGAGCAAAGCTCATTAATTTCAAGGAAACGCGTCCCTTTGTTAATGTCCTTAAACTTTAATTGAGCGAAGATTCCATAGTGGTCTCAAGCGAAATACTTGGGGAGTTATCATCGTCAACAAATTTTCCTGGCGGCCTCACGTAGACTATATAGTAGCGAAGGTCAAGGCAGCAACCAAGTCGCTTGATCCTTTACTTTGCAGCATAAGTAAGCTTTCTCTGGGAAACTAACAGCAAATGTATATATCTTACATCCAGGCAGTTATGATGTACTCGTCTGCTGCTGGGACCTACGGCTCCACTGGAATAGCGCCGGCACTTTAAGTGCGACAGAACAAATCGTGCTTGTTCTAACAAAGGCGCGGTGATTGGTCTGCGGGAATGCTCTTTACTGGATCCTTTAGCTAGAACAACGCTATCCCGTGGTCCTTTACGAAAGGTTCACCCGGCAAACTTATCGCCTGCTGGGGAGCGAACTTATTTACGTTCCATGGGATGGGGCACGTTATCGCCGCCTACGTAACGCGCTTAAGCGCTAGTTTTTTTTTTTTGTTAACCCAAAAAAAAAAATTGACACCCTGAGTGCTATTTTTATTATCTGCGCAACTCCTGGTGGAGAACTCCAGTATTCGAAGTTTTTAACCCGATCGAGTACCAGAACTGTCATTAAAAAATAAATAAATAAATAAAACGACAGCATCTACGATAACGCATTTCGACCAAACCGTCCCCTGACACACGGAAGTCAAGTACTTAGAGATTTTTTTGGTATGGAAGTGAAAGTGGAACAAATAATTTTATGATATTCTAATAATTATTAAAAGCGAAAATTATAGTAAATATTCTAGTTAGTTGCTATTAAAGGGGAGAGAAAAGATAAATACAATTTTTAGAACACCTTTAAGGCAATTTTACCAGTGTAATTTTAAGCGAAACCTTTACGAAATTTTAAAAGCAAGGAAAATAGCCTTGGACAGTAGCTTTAAACCTTTAGTAGAACTTCTTAAACCTTTAAAAAAAAATACTAAATTAACTTTACCAAGCTAAACTAATGAAAGATTTCTTAATAATTAGAAAGCTCTATTATACTATACCAAAACGCAGCTATGCAAAATACTAATACACATAAGACTTACAATTTAGTTCTTCTCCGTTTATAGATAAGTGGCATTTTATAATAAATGTTATAAATAATAGTAGGTTTTTCTTTTTCTTTGGCCGTTTAAATTTATATATTTAAATTAATATTCTTGCCTGGCTCTTTACCGGTATGACCTCCGTTATATATAAAAGGATTTAAATCCGACTCGTTCATAATAAATCCTCCTTAATATAATCTTAATTAAAGTGCTTTCACCTTTACTTCTTATGTTGCCCAAAAATTTTTAAAACTGTCATATTTACTATGCAACATTCGAGCCCTAACTACCAGATGTTGGAACAATCATCTCATTTTAAATAACGGTTAATAATAATAATTCCAAATTAACTATTCACATAGCCATTGGGAAGCTCTAACAATAACTCTGTATTACTGTTAATCCGGAACAAACATAAGATTTCACCACTTAGCTAAACTACCATATAGGATTATTATGGTAGGCAACAAAAGATCTTGTTTCTGGTTAGTTTTTTTATGACCTAACTCATTAAATTTGGGCATGGAATAAAAATAACTAAGAGACCTTCTTTCAAAGCAAGGGATACTGTTAGAAAATTTATAATCACTTTAATCCTTCAGTTATTTAGTGTAACTTTTCTTCATAAAGAAACTAATGATTTTTTTTAATCGGTTACTATAATTAGTAAACAGTTGAGTTAAATGGTTTTGGACTTAATCAATATACTTATTTCTTTTCGGTATAGTAAAGGTGGACAACTAATTGTGGGACAAGGTTGTTTAAGATAGGTTAATTTTTTAATCGGAGTTTGCTTTGCAACAAATGACAAAAGTTGTCAACTAAATAGTTTATAATTTTGTTTTTGGTAAATAATTGTTAGATTTAGTCATAAAAATGTTCCTAGATGGAGCAAAATGCGAGAAAGTGTAAATAACCTTTTTTAACGCCCCAAAACACTAGGGGAAACCGAAGACGTTGTTAAAAATAAAATACCAACAGACCTAAGCAAGTTTCATCAAGAAGTCAACGTTCTTTCATAAAATTGAGTAAAAAGAGCGACTATTTACGTTACGGGACAGTACGACACAGTGGAACGAAGAGTTAGGACTAAAACTACCATGTGTGTTATAAACAACAGGTACATTGAAACTATCATGGCTGTAGACGATTGGGCATAAATTATTTTATGTGGTAAACTTAATTCGGAAACGAGTTATCAGGTCAAATGAAGCGTTACATGAAGACTTCATTAAAACACCGTGATATTCCCGTAATGGGTGTGGATTTGGGCTGTATGTCTGCAAAAGGCTTGGGCAGCGTTGAGTTTATCGACGGAATTTAAAATGTAGAGAAATATTAGAATGTATTAACAAACAGGCCTCTTCCGAGTACCAACAAGCTGTATTATAAGGAAAAATGTGTTTTCCAGCAAGACGGAGCCTCTTTTCGTACAGTCAAGTCAACCCAAAAATAGCTCTCTGCGAAGAAAATCAGTTTTGCTATGGCCTTCTAGTAGCTCAGACCTTAATGACATTGAAATACTCTGGCTTAAGATGAAGCAGCGGTTACATACTAATCCTCAGAGGAAGTCAGAATCGACAAACAGTCCGACTAAGCTTACACCTGAGTTTTGTAAATCTTTAACAGCAGCCATGCCTTCCAGAATAGCAGTGACTGTTAGAGCAAAAGGAGATGAAAACCATGTTAAACTGTACCCTACTGATATGGTCTCAAGATATAATTATCAACGTTATGTAATTTTATTTACTTTGTAGGCTTAATTACCGACTTCAATTTATATAATGCATAGTTTAGTTATAGAACTTTCGTATTCTTGATAAAATTTTTATAATTGTTACTGCTTCTATTGAATAATAACACCCGAAATTTTTTATGGCTTGTTCCAATTAGTTGTAAAAGGGGTATTTTTATTATACTTTTTTCTTCATTAATCTTAATATCCTGGCTTAAAGTGAAGTTTTCATTGAAACGAACATGAGAATTGTCTTAAACTTATGATAGTCTCACAAAATGAGTGAATCCAAGCAGGAAGATGAAGTGGCGCATAATCAAAAACTATTTTTAAAACGTGCTGAACTATAAATCTGTTTCTTAAATAATGTTTAAGGCAGTCAGTACCTATAAAGTAATACTTCTTTAAAAGTTTATGTTATAGTAAACTTAATATTTTGTAGTAGGAAAAGTCTGTGCTTACTGATATATAAAACATAATTAAATATGTTCATGACAAATGCTTATAAAAAATTTATAATAAGAAAATTCAGACTAATTTAATAGATGCAAGGTTAAGCATGCTCCACTGACAAATTATTATGTAACGTGTTTAAATATATCTTCCGCAGTAATTCGGGTAGAGAGTTCCTGTAAATTTAAAATAATATATATTATTACCCAAATTTAAAATTTATATATTTGCAACTCGCTCTCTCTATTAAGTAAATTTTTATTAAAGTGAAATAAGAAAAAAAAATTTTATATAAATTTGAAAAAGTAAAGCTTATTTAACCATTACAACAATTAAAGAATTTTTTATAAGATTTTGGTATCTGCGCAACCAAAAAATGTCGAAAATTACTTGACAAGGACGTTTTAATAAAACACTAAATATTAAAATAAAGTTGACTTATGGAAAATAATGAATTTAATAATATTTTCTTAAAATTTTCTAATCAATAGTTTCAATAAGAGTTTTAATCTATTAAAACTTGAGTGCGCTTTTAAGTACGCACGCTCAGAAGTATACTATACAATTATTGGCCCCTTTTAACTATAACTAAAGCTCCCAGCCAATAAAAGAACTGGAATTGTTTGTTTCCTACTTATATGCGTTGACAGTAATACACTATACCAAATATTCATGAAAATGACGAAAAAAACTACAAAATTTGTTTATAAATTTCAAGTGAAATTGCACAAGAAGTAATAACATACAAAAATATGTAGAAATACTGTTTAAAAAAGTTATAATATTTACTTTATGAAAATAATAAGACTGAGAGTTAAAAAAATATAAAGTTTTATACTTTTTGAAAAAGTGAAGGCTCCTGCCCTTCAGTAGAAATGCTTTTGAAGGCCTATTCAGTGTTATTGATAAGAGAATATTTATTTTTAGTAAAAAGGGAACAAGGTAAACTTTATAATAACCGATAGCAAATATAAAATAAATAAAAAAATAATATTTATTACAGTCGTAATACTAGAAAACGGTAACGATATTATAGGTTAAAAAAAATGGCTGCACTTTTTTTCTCTGAATATTCTATATATTCAAACCATCACAAGTAAAAATAATTTGTTTTTTCTTAGTAACATAAACATAATAATTATAATGAGGAACAGTAGAAGAAGTGATATCTCTCGCATTTCTTGCAACCCGTGCGACTTCGTCCGCCTCTGTCCCCAACGGACGCACATGGCTCCTGTAACTCTATAGCACATGTCAAAGTCCTTGAACTCTTTCGTATATTTTATTTTATTAAGCGCAAGACCGAAAGGTTTTCTTTCCAGAACTCCGACTTCCCAGCAACAGGCACAACTTCCTTTATTATTTTTGAAATTATATAAAATAAGAAAACCTAGAAAAGAAGAGCTGAATGAACCTTCACTTTAAAAACAACAATTCCAGAAAGAAATATACATATGATGTTTGCGACGGTTAAGAGTAAGCTGACGCCTCCGAGACGAGCACAGAGACGCTGTTGCTCCCCTGCCATTGCCTCTAGTATTTTACTAAATAGTTTGCGTGCCCAATGTTTTCGAATGGCGACAACAAATAAAAACTATAGGGTAAAACTTTTGCGCTGCCATTGTTACTTTTTACTAGTTACGCAGTTAACCACTATTACCCGTCAGTAAACATAGACAAACGTACGATGAAGGTGAGGGCCAATGAGCGCGTATGCCCAATTAAGGCCGGCATTTACGGCGGGAGGTAAGAGCGATGCGGAGATAGCGACTCCTGAAAGCAGAATTATAAGTTTGAAAATAAAAGTAACCAATTATCAATTAATAAACGTTTTAATAAATATAATTTAAATAGTCAATCATAACATGAATAACTATACCCACTAAGCTAGCAGCATTATTTCCTAGAATGGACAGTGCGACTCCCGCGCCGGAGGGAGCAGCCACACAGATGCCTTTAACGAAATTACAAGGTCACGTGCGACCAACCTATAAGGAGAAAGACCTAAGATCAAGTTGTCCCATTGGCCACGGCTACGCATTTCGGGGGTGGGCCACCCGTAGTACACGCCTTGACCGTTGTTAGTAGACTACAACAGTCAAGGAAAATAACGAAGCAGAGGGACCGAAAGGAGACATCGCGCTGCCAAGAAGAAAGCCGACGAAAATGCAAAGAAAGAGACTGAACAGCTCGTTTCGAAGGCCAACAATAATCATGTTCCTAAAAATAAGTGTGAATTTATTTTACAAAAACACGTGGACTTGGAAAATATAGACACGCGAATGACTAGTAGTAAAGTTCAAAGTGCAACAAATTCGCGCGCTATAGTAAACTTAAAGTTGAATATATTATAAATTTGGTATTTTATATCATTAAAATGTCTTAGATTGGTTCTTGACTTTTTTATTAAAAATAAGTTTTAAAGGGCGCGTAATTGGTAGCATTTAGGTACAGCTTACTAGTAAAACGACACTTAAACGGTTTGCGTTCTGCATCGCATTGCAAGCAGACTCCAACAACTAAAAAAATTACCAATAATGTGGGGCAATGTAAGTACCTGTCCAATATAAAAGCGCCGAAGGTGAAACTAAGGATGGGCCCCATCAGCGGGGAGATGAGCATACTCGCAATAACAGCAACCTCGAAAGAATAATAAGCACTAAACTTGTATAGCGTTCATAAAATTGTAGATTACTTTAAGTATTAAAAGTAAATGTAATTTTTATAAAGTTTATTGGAATATTCAAAATAAAAACATACAGCTGAGTTGGAGGCGAGGCCAATACCCGCTATCACTGCAGCGCAGATAAGAAGAACATAATAGTCAAAGTTTAGCTCAGCTCCACTTTTAACAGAAGAAATAACCTTTATTATTACTATTATTGTGGTTACTATTATTATTATTAATAAATTAACTTGATCCATTACTATACGGCTTTTAGCGCCTTTCATAAATTGCTCTGAAACTCCTTCTACCTGTTATAATTATGATACTAAAGAAGACAATAGAAATATAAACTTTTTATTACATTTTGAATAATATAAATTATAAAGTAAAAATAATAAAACATTAATGGGGAGAATATAATAAAACTTTATTATAAAAAATAGTCATCCACATAATTTGTACGTATAAGACCAACGAAAACTTTTATATTTCAGTAGTTGAGACATATTATCATAAAAATTTCGATATGTTTAAGTTTTAGTTCGGTTTATAAATATATAACAATAAACAAAAAAAAAATAATATAAATATTTTTTAAAAAAACTTTTCATAATAAACTTTTATACGTTTGAAGGCTTCAGGTCAGGCTTGACAATATCGATGGGAAGAACTCTGATAGTGCCGTAGTCCGTGCTGCACCCTGAAAAAAATAATATAAATAGTAAGTAAAAGAGTGTGGAGGATTACCAATAGATTTACAGTGTTCCATTGGTGGAATTGAACGTATTGCAAAGAACAAAAATGAAATATATGCAACTTTTGCAGTGAACATTAATAATAAAAGCCTCCAATAGCCAACCTTTATTGATCAAAAGGCGCATAACAAACTCGACTCGGCTCGTCGGGACCGAAAACGTGACTTGGTATTTATTTTCTTTTATGCCACTCGTCCATAATAAATCCTCAAGGCTTTTTGTGAATAGATTTATTAATTATTGTTTCTCTTTAATAAAAGTAATAATATATTGTAATTATCCGATATTTACTGCAATAGTAATGATGATATTATAATTGTAAACCCCAACTCGTCGAGTAATTCGGAAATCATTTTCACAACATCTACAATATAGGAATTGTCGTCTTCCAAAAATATTGCCTTTTTTTCATCAAGAAGAAAAAAGTCGCTTAAACAATTTCTAAATAGAAAGTCTTATTGGATATGCAACAAAATAGGAAATACAAATTCCAAAGTTTAAAACTAAAAAAAATTTCAATAGTAAGAAGTAAAAAAAATAGTTAAAAAAGGTTCTCTCATATATAAAATACAAGAACTCAAAAGAAAAAAGTCTTCTTTTATTGTGAAGGCACGAACCAATGAAAATTTTGGGAGTTGAAAACTACCAATAAACATGTTACTTTCTGCAGCGATCATTGTAATTGGTGCATGCCAGTACACGAGGAGGTCAAAATGAGCCAATCCAGCTAGGTGGGAGCAAATTAATCCCATCCGCGGTACTTTTTACCCTTGACTTGTTGCTCTCTGTGACAAGCGCAAAGTTTTGATCACGTGCTGAGCTTTTTCGGGCCGATAAAAATGATGCACTTTTACAATTTTTCTACTGCATTCCTTTTTAACTTTTCTTATTATTATTACTCAAAAGTTATACTAAAAGTTTAAACAGAATACGTTGAGTTTATATAAATAATAAAAGTTTTTTTAGTTTTTATAGCAGAAGAGAAGAATAATATTTATTTTATTCAAACTTTCAAATTATTAGTTTTCATTAGTACAGGAAAAAAGTTATAGTAAATATTTTTCTAAATGTTATATAAAAATAAGAGTTTCTTGATAAATATAAACTTTCAAAAAAGTATTGGAAAAGTTTGAATATAAAAGTTTTTAATAAATTTTAAAAACTCTAAAAAAGCTTAAGCAAAAAATTTTTGTTAAACGAATAAATAAATTAATAATAATGAAAGACAAAAATTTTTTATATATAATTCAAAATATTAAATATATTAATAATATAATAAACTAACCTTTTAAATAGAAAAACTTTTATAATTAAAATAATTTAAAAAATCTTAAAAATTAAAAATTTTTTTTTTCAAAGTTCTACAAAGTTCTAATTAGATTAAAAATTTATATATTAACTTTATAAAATGAAAATTTAATTAGTTATAAAAATAAAAAATGTCGAAATAATTCTAACTACTTAATAATCTAGTACAATATTATAAAAAGATTTAAAAGTTGCTACAAATGCTAAGCAATTTAAAAAATTTATTATAATAAATTATTAAAATTTTTTATGAATTTCATAATTAAAGGAAAAAAGTGTTACAAACTTTCTTAATCAAAATTAAGTATTAATTACAACTTAACACATTTAACATTAAAAAAAATATATATATTATATACAAAAATATTCAAATTAAATTAGAGCACGTTACAAATTTTCTTGATCAGCTTCTGGAATATCAGAATTTCTATTACTTTGCTTTTCCTTCACGTCAATGTCGCCAAGGTTGGGCAATTCAATAACCTTAAGTAAATTAATTTATATAAAAAATTAGGTTTCGCTTAATATATTTATTTAAAAAAATTTACAAATTGGCAAAAATAAATTTTTTTTTCCTTTCTTTTTAATTATACAATTACTCTATATATATAACTTTTGGTTAAAAGTTTATACAATTTAGTAAACCACCTTCAAAACTCAACTTTTTTATTTATATTTTAATAAGGTTAACATATTTTATTAAAAAATAATAAAATTTAAAAATCAAATTAAAATCCTATATAATTTTTTAAAATATTAATTTTGATTTTACAAATTTTTTATTAACAAAACTATTCCCCAAAAAATATTTTAAAAATTAATTACTTCATAAATGTGAAAAAAAAAATTTATAACTTTTAAATAGATTTATTAAGTTTAAATAGTTATTATAATCAAGTTAATACTAAAAATTAAGTAATAAACTATTTAAAAGTATTAAATATAAGTTATAATCAAACAAATTGTATATATATACGCACAAGGTTTATTATGTTTTTTGTCAATCAAAATTTGTAACGCTCTAAACGCAAAACAAATATATTTCCAAAAAAAATTAAAAAAATTGTCATAATTATAAAAATTAATTTGAAGTGAAGAACAAAATTAGAAAAGGAAGTATACCTTATCATAATTTTCTCTTATTTGGTTTTCCACTATATTTTCTGATAACTCTATTAAAAGTAGTTGATAATATAAGTTGAACAAAATATAGAAGAGCTTACCCTTAAGAGAACTTTCTTCTTTCAGTGTATGTAAATAAATTAATTATAATAACATCTTAAAAATTACCAAAAAAAGAGGGTTTTACCAGTTTTCTTATTAAAATATTCTTTAACTTGTGTCTTAAGCTAATTACAAATAAAGAAAAAAAACATTAAGGAGAAATTTACATACCCATAATGTTTCAACTTAAAGCATTTAAGTTATAACAATAAACATGATAAATAGCGAGGCAAACTACCTCCTCGATGTCCCCGCAGTGGACTTTCCGATCAGAAGTTACCTTAATATATTTCGGAAGTGTAACAATAAAATAATAAGGATTCATTACTCTGAGTTAAATTTAAAAGAGGCTTGGTAGCATAATAAATCTCTATTTACCAGTATTTATGGCGCACAGAGAACCTAAAAAAGTAAAACTGCTCTACCGCTTAAAGAGTGTAGACCGCACAACAAAGTAACACATACTAACTTTTAACTAATGTACACTTAAAGAAAGTTAATATAATAATCAGTTAGTTGTTATGCTTGATTGAATACTACGAAAATAAGTATTTTGCGTGGTTCTCTGATAATTTGTAAAACGCATTGTATAATAATTCGTTGACAGCTAATAGGGTGGTTACAGTCTTCGTCTAAATAAGAAACAACAGGGCCAGCTATATCTGTTTTGTGGTATGTGGAAACCATCAATATTTATGTTGCTCAGGAATCAACTTCAACTATAATGCGCAGTCTTTCCTTATGCATATTTTAGTAAATAATAAAAAACTGTTTCTTTAATTTATCCACTTATATTTTAGTGCGAGGAAATAGATAGTTATTCAAAAGGCGTTCTACTTTTAAATCAATAGATAAAAAATATTATGGTTAGCAGGTCTTAAGTATATCTTTAAGCTATTTCATTGGTGAGCTCGCAATAAGCAATAGCTTTTGCAACTAAGTAAAGACTAATCATGTTACCTTTACAGATCAAAAACGGCCAATCATTTAACTAAATGATCCAAACTTTGATTATCTTTTTTAAATTTCGGTTTATATAACAAAAATTTAATGTGAAGCTCTCTGTCACCCAAGTTAAGCGGATTCTCCCCTTAGTACCTTTGCCGTGCTACATTTTGAACCTGGTGGAATTGAACTGAGTTTAACGCTATGTTTGAGGTGGGTACAACTTTTTATTTTTACTAGAAGTATCGTTTTACATTACTTTTTCATGTATTAAAAACTAAAGATACCATGGTATAATTAAGCCAGATTAATTTACTTATGGTACATTATAAGTTGCGACTGAGGCTACACTACTTTACATATTACCTTCAAAGTTAATCCGCTTATTAGAGAGCTCTTAGTCTACTGTTATTATAAACTTCTCTTATTATATTTAGAAAGTTAGGCTGTTTAAAATGTATTAAAGTTAAGGATATTACCTCTATTCTTGCACGCAATTATTGTGATGAAAATTACATTACCTGTTGATTCCATGTAATTAATTTTGTTTGTGCTTCAAAACATTTAGCAACGAGGAGTTATTATTATATATAATATAGTCATTTATTAGTTTATTTAGATGGCAAGTGCACAGGAATGGCGTAAAGTATTTACCAAAAGGCTAAATGATAGAGATGCCGCCTTAAAAAAACTACCTTTTGCTGAAAGCAGTAAGTCTTTAGTATTAAAAATATTTTATCTATAAATCTCTCTAATTTTTAGGTTTGAGTGAAAAAACAATATCTAATGAGACTAATGAAATGTTGGAATTTGTAAGGGCATCCTTAAACAGAGGCCCTTCCGCTTCGTTTATACTGACCTTATACCTCGCCATATCTTTTTTGGCTTCTCTGGTTGTCGGGTTATATTTTTCATATTTAGAGAATTTCAACTAAACTTTTATAATGGAACTTCCAAATTAGTAATATCAAGCTTATCTCTCTTTTTGAAGTTATGGCATCTTGTGGTGATCATGAAGTTAAGACAGGAAAAAATTATGATAGCTTACTTATGTGCCAAAAATTTGAGAAGCTGTTCATAAGTGGTGCTTCAGGATACCTGTAGGCTTCAAAATTTATGTATAGCTTACAGGTAACAACACTTACTTTATAATAGAAATTTTCCTTTTCTTAAAGCTGCAAGGAAGGTTCTCATCAAATACGAAGGTAGGTAAAACCCAAAGATGTTAAATAATAAAAATGATTCTTGAAAGAGGGTTAGAAATTTAATTTGGTTACGTATTACTAAAGTCGTTTAAGTTAATGTAAACTGATATTTAAGTTAAACCAAGGAAATTTTATATAAAAACAGGATGAATTAAGACTTTGTTATCAATAACAGATCTTAACGAAGGCGTTAATATTTCTTTTCCAAGCCTAAAGGAACTGGAATTATTTTCTTTTATTGGAACGAACCAACCATCTATAAGCATAAGGTGAGGTTTATGTTATTATCAGGGATCCCTAAGAGTTTTTTATAGTTCTGTTATTTTATATTTTAATACCTCTTACAAAATTACTATCAAAGTTAGTTTTTGCAACATTATCAGTGTATCTTTAAGATAGGTTATTAAATCATATTAAGTGTTCCTAGAGCGAAAAGATTCGAAAAAATTAGAATCGAAGGACTATCTTCTGACCAAAAAGATTTGGATTTCGGTACTTTGGAATTGGTTGAAGAGCTAAAAATATCTAACTCAGCTTTTGAGTATTTGTAAACTTGTAAAAGAATACGATGAGATCTATAATTATAATTTTAATTAGACTAATCAATTTATCTTCTTTGCGAATTGTTGAAAGACTCATCTTCTCAAAAGTCAGTTTTAATTTGCTAAAAGCTCCAAAATTAGAAACTGTGATGAAACTGGATGCTAATGAGCTTTATTCAAATAAACCCATCCAACTCCAGTTAAATAATTTAATGGAATGTGATACTTTTTCGGTCATGAGTTCGAAAGGTACGTGGCTAGCAAAAAGTAACTTATTAATTAGTATTACTTCTAATCATTAAAAAAGTCTTAGATTCTCTGTCTCTTCCTTCTTTAAAAAGCACTAAGACTTTCTATTTGGATCAAATAGAATTTTCCAATGGGTCATTAGAACTTCCCAGTTTGCAAAGTAAGCAAATTTAAACATGACTTATTTTCACCCTGACTAACTGGTATATTGTGATGAACTCTCACCTATATTCTAGCAACAGCAGTTTTTAACATTATGAATATTAAAAATCTACAAACAGTCAATCTCTCAGGTGCTGTTAATATAGAGGTAATACTATACCGGTCTAAAGTACAACTAACCTTTAAAATATTGTTTGTTATAACAGAGGGTCCTTGTACTGCATACAATGGGAATCCGCAAGTTTAGTTCGAGTGCTCAGGAGGCACAGTATCTTGGATTTATAGAAAACATGGATTTGAGTATATTTAATTCCTTTTTACTCAGCCTTCATTATACTTAAAAGCTTTTTTAATCCTCCATGGATATTCTTTAATAGCGGGAATCCAGCTTCCTTTTCTAACTAAAGCAGGTAACATGGCTAATATTAAATAAATATGAGTGCTACTGCTGTTAGTGTATTTAAATTTGTTAAACTTTAATTAAAATAGAGATTTCTTTAGATGAAAACATGCTTATAAAGTCTCTAAGTTTACCATCACTAGAGTCTGGAGAAGTCTTGGTTATAAACCTTCTTAAGTTTTTTCTTAAAAGAATAATATTAATTAAATGCAGTTGAAAAATTGCGACAAAATTGAAGAGCTGTTTATACCCCGCTTTAATAAGTTTCTTTTCTTTATTCATACTTAATATATTTTTAAAACAAAAGTTATTATCATTCGTAACAAGTTTATCATGTGTAGACAATATAAAAATGTATAGAGCATCTATAGCCTTTATGTAGTAAATATTAAGCTGAAATAAATTATATTTACTAACTATAGTTATTTTTTTAATAATAAAAGTGGAGGGCTTGCTTTAATATCTAACCCTGAACTAAGCACTTTGAATATATCAAACTTTAAAAAGGTTTTCAACTCTATCCCATTTTATTATTGCAAAATTATAAGTATTTATTATGTTAGACCACTGCCGCAATCCTTTTTGGTTGTCCCAAGATAAAAGAGGTTATTCATAAAGCTTTCTAGCTGCTGGGGTCGTTAAATAGTAGATGGGTAGTACATATATTACTAAGCCCTCCAAACTAAAAGGAATTATATAAACGTTCCAGCTGCTTTTTGGTATTATCATGGCCATAAGATCGAAAAAAAATCTAAAACTGGGTGGAGTAATGCATTCAAAATTTACATGTAAAGGGCGTGCTACTGTTGTATAATTTGGGACTTTGCGGTTTATTTACCTTTTCCCCTCTAAAATTTTAAAGTGCCCGCTGAAGCACTTGAGTTTAAACAAGTGAAAATCTGCTTTTTTAGCATGCAAACGATTTTAGTCTCGGGTGGATAACTTTGCAGTTATCTATATTTATAAACAGCATTTTATAAGAAGAAGATATTCCATAAATCTTTTCCTATTATTTTTATCATGAGTTATACATACCGTTTTCGATAAACATACGAAAAATTCCTTACTCTAATTTCCTATGAGGGTTTTAAACCAAAAAAAATTTAAACGCTATTTTTTTAAGGCAAAACCTTCATTCCAAAATTGTTAACATTTGCAAAAAATTGTTCATTTTCTGTTTAAACTTATTAAGTTTCTAGATTATTTATTACTGCACTTCACTCTTACAAGACGTTAATTTTAATTAGAACCCTCTAAAAAGGATCTCTAAAGGTAATGAGCCTCTTTCGATTGCACTAATGCTTGCTATTAAAGAGTGCAAGTTAGAGACTTCAGGTTCTTTGTAGAAATATCATTTCTATCAAGTAATTTTCCTTTTTAACAATATTTATTCTAGGGACTTGTGTATCTATATATGAAACAAGCTAAGGTTAAGTTATGTGGGTAACAACAAGAAATAAAAACTTTAAATAAGAACTTGTTACAATCCCTTTCATATATAGGTTATGCTCTATAGAAAAGTCTATGCTATCTGTTATACCGAATTTCTTTTTTAGAAAAGAAAGTAATATGTGAGGAAATATATCAATTATTATTATAACGCACATTTTAGTAGACAAGCAATAATTATATATTACATAACCCCATAACCTAGACCTTCACTTATTCGAGTTTTTGGGATACTAATAATCCTCAGCGCATTTTACAAGGTCACAAGGTCTTAAACTAATAAACTTGAGCCACTCGATCCGCACAGCTTCGTTTATGTTGAGAAGTTTATTACTAGGGGAGTGCAGCAGGAAGCAGGTCTCTGTAAATGAAATATCAGACTAAACAGTTTAAGTATGTGTGCCTTTGCCTTAAGCGCTAAGTTAACCTGGTAATTAGCTAGTGTAACTCCCCTTAACTTATATAAAGAAAATTGTTAGCGTGTAGTTGTCATGGAAGCTAGTTAAACCAGATAAAAAACATAGTAAAATCTAGTGCGCTAAGAACTAGCCCATAAAAGTTAGCCATAAACTTCATTATCATATATATCTATTGGCGCCACGTCAACTAAAAACCCTACTATGAAAGCTGACCTTCCAAAAATAAGGTGATACTGTATAACTTAGGCTACTTCTTAAGTATGTTTTGGTATGGCTTATACGGGCTATTAAGTGTATTCATTTGTAAGATGACTAAATGGATGGCCCTTCTAAAATAAATAAACATTTTTATTGACCTTGAAAAATTAGTTTTCTAATCTTTACTTGCGGGATGCTCGCTGAGATGTTTAACTTGTAAATCTTATTAGAAAAAAATATAGTTTTTTTTTATTTGGCAAAACGGGAGATTAAAAGTATTTCTTTTTCTTTATCCAAAATACTAGATACTCGCAGGTTAACTTTATAATATTTTCAGAACTGCTAGAACTATTAAGTCAGCTTTTTAATTTGAATATTTTGTAGAAATTTGTTATAAATTCCGCTTTTTGAACTGGTAAAAAAAGTGAAGAATACGAAATCAACAAGCATAGCAACGTAAGAAGGGCAAACAATTTTAAAAGTTAGCATGAACAGTTAACTTTTGGCCTTTTGAGTTAAATAAATATTAAGCTTTTAAATATACAGTATTGCATTTAAATCTAGTAAATTATTAGTCAATAGCTAAGTCGAAGGTTACACCTATAAAAGTTAAAAATGAGTTTAAATTAAGAAAATTTTAAGATTATAAGCAACTTGAAAAAATTGAATATAAGAAAAGACAGCATAACAACCTAAATTATCTGTAACTTTATTTTGGTAGGGGTGGTAGTCCACCAGAAGCCCCTCTACTCGGGTAATCAGGTGAAAAAGGTCTCTGAACTTGAGAAGTTGTTTCTTTGTAAGAACTAGCATTTCTATAGTTATAAGGAGGATAAATAGGTTGCGGAGAGTTACCAAGAGATTGCTGATAATTGTAGGTGGAGTAATTGTAATCTGAATTTGGTAATGCTGTAGGACGGTTATCTGAATAACCCTGGCCAACTGAAGATGTTGCGATGACGGGTTGTGAAAAGTGCATGTTATTAGGTATTGATGAGCATTCTAAGTTGTGAGGAACTACTGAAATCACATTGCCCTGAACTGGGTAACCGGGAGGTGGTGCTCCTATGTTCCCTTGTAAGTTCACTGAGGAACTTTGTTGGCATAAAAGGGGCACCTGGCAAGGTAAATTTGTGACATAACTGTGTTTCTTAACTAAAATAAAAGAGTTACAAAAATTATATATGAAAATTCTAGTTAAATTAGAAAAAACCTTTTTTGTGTGAGTGTTTTTTCTTTTTTTTATCTTTTTTGTCTTTCTTTTTCTTATAGTGGACTTTCTTATGATGCCCATCAAAAGAAGAAGAGGAGGAGGAGGAGGAACTACAGGCCATCACGTCGCAGCCCTGGGCGCTCCTATATGTTCTGCAGAATGAACATTATCAAGACGAAACAAACGGATAATTACAGGAAAACATCTTACTGTTGTACAACAGTAAAAGCAAACACCTAGTTCGCTCTCCCTCCTAATATATCAAAGTGATTGGCTCACCAGTATTTTACTAAATAGGGTGTCATCCGAACTTACAAAATATGCTTTTTTTTTAAAAAGTTAATTTTTTAAACAAATGGTCCCAGTAGGGTGCAATAAGGAAGCTATAAGCCAGTAGCTTCACTTAAAGCATTAAATTAAAGGGACAGTTACTATTTATTATAGTGTAAGAGGTAAATAGTAACTGCAAAGAGGATGAGGAGGATAAAAATCAAGTGGTATTATGAAACCTTTAGCTATTAACAGATAGAGTGAGACTCAAAAATATACAATTCGTGATTTTCAGTATAGCTAGCACTGTCCATAATTTACAAAACTCTTAATGTTTTAATAAAAAACTTTAAGGTAATAAAAAAAAAAATTATAATTTTAATATATTGACTTTAACACAAAGGAACTTGGTTAAAGGTTTCATTAAGTATGAACTATCACCCTTTAGCGGGTCATTTTTTTAAAACTTATTTTCGGCTTTCTCGGAGTGACTTTCGTAAATAGGTGGGGTACTAATACTTTATATGAGGGTTGAGCACTTGAAGAAGTGGCATGCGCGCATTTTTCCTCTTTGTTTGTTCAATTTGGTCGGGTTGTGCTCCTTAGGCAACTCGAAAATTATTGAATAAGTTATTACAGAGCTTTGTATTAACGATAAACCTATTAAAATTTTTTCTTATATAGAATATATAGTTTTCGGAAACGTAAAGCTTTTAAAAAAAAATTGAGAGTGTAGAATTTGTTGATAATTTTTACTGAATTTATTTTCTATCTGAGTACCAATTATTAGCATTGCCTTTATAGTACTGAGCTTAAAAGAGTATGTGTTTTTGTCGTTACCTTTAATTGTAGGCTACCTTAATGCTATACGCTCGTAGCTCTTATTAGTCTGTCTGTCCTCCGCACAGTTAGATACTTTTCATTATAATTTTTTAAGTCTACAAGCTTTGAGGACAGGCAGTGGTGGATTTTGCTAAGCTTTTAAAATTAGCATTAGTTTTGCGTAATTTTATATTGCTTTCTGTTAATTATTACTATATACATTACTATAATTTAAGCTTATAGTTTTGTATCATAGTGCTTATTGGCAGTCAGGTTATAGCAGTGGGTTTCCACATTAAGTGTTAATCCTGGGCACCATAAATCTAACCATCGCATTTACTTGTGAGGGTGCCCTTAATTAGAATGTCAAGTTTAGAATACCACGGCATGAAAGGGAAACTTTTAAATTGTTAGTTAGATCTACTTTAATAGTCCAGATTTAGTGGAAATATGAGGTTATAACTTTGATGCGCTCATAAAAGTATACTAGAATGAGTGTGCTAAGGATCATTACTTCAGTTTAATAAAGAAGAACCCATGAGACCATCGTAAGGAAACGTGATTTGTTTAAACTGTAATTTGAGTTGAGCAAAGAAGTCACAATATTTTCCAGATAGTGTTCTAAAATTAAAATGTGTTATTTAGAATTTTCTAATAGTAAATATTAGAAACCAAAGTTTTAATAAACTGTCTTCTAATGATTTCTCAGTTAGCTTTATAATAGCCCTATAGTAGGTGACTAATTAGATTAACTTTAAGAGCTAATATTATTGCTCTAACGGCCACTTAGAAGAGAAGAGAGTATAAACTAACTTTTTTCACATTTTGAAGTCGATGATATACTACACAGTACTAAATAAAACAAACTTACTTGTGAAGGCGAAAAGCAATTAATCATCTGCAAGAAATATTGTTGTTAAGAAAATTTAGATAGGGGTACATAAAATGGGTAATTTTTCTTTAGTTCACTTGATCTTTTTTTTTATTGCTAGAAAAATGACTCGAAAATAAAACGGAATTTTATAGTGGAGTGCATATTGACACTACAGACGGTTGATAATTTAAATTATTAATATTTTTTTTTGCCAATTTATATTTCGTTGATACTATACCTATCTCTTATCAAATAATTCTTACTAACTAAAGATTGCTAAATCACGTTATACATTCTTCCTGTTGTAGCTTAATAACGTCATGTAACTTTAAATTTACTTTATGCATATAAATTATAAATGCAAAACTAATAATGCACAAAGATTTTTAATATAAAGCAAGTTTAACGTGTAATTGCAATATCATTCGTTATCATGCAAAAATGCCTGGTCATTCATTTTGGGAAGGTTTTTTGTTTAAAATATTCTTTGATAGCCACTAATGAAGGCTTTAAATGCGAGCAGGTGCTGAGGCATTTCATGGATTAGAAAGTCATAATCAATAATTGTTTTGTAAATTGAATGTTACAGTAACGAGCCAAGTAGTTGTGAGCCTTCTACTATTAAACAAAGTTTTTCCCTTACTTTTCTACTCCTTTGTCTTTTACCTCTTGGTTTCGTCTACCGGGTTAACAACTAGTTTAAACCAAAAAACAAACAAATAAGAGGTACTAAATCGAATAACGAAATCTAGTAATTTATAGGGTTTCTGCTTAAACTAAGTTAATAATTATATAGACGCCAGATTTAAAAGTAGAATATTAAGGATGCAGAAGAGTAAAATGGGGTTTCAGCGAAACTGACAAGCTACTAGTGTGCAGTAAATACTTTTTGGCCCCGCAACATAAGACAATATTAGTAACTCTCTTTCAGCTCTTGTTTTCTTTTAGCGTCTGTGCGGATATGCAACCTAATAAGAAGCATACATATAGTCATTTAAAATTAGTCTGGGGGGCGATTAATTATGTCAATATAATAACCTAACTGAAAGTCTAATCTTAACTGAGAAACTAGATAACTTCTTAGGAAAATTGTTAAGTGTAGTCAACTGCACTATAAACTCACTATATTTTATTACAATATATATTTTAAAACATTGGTTTCCACAATAATATAAAGAAAAGAAGAAAATATATAAAAAAAGATTACAGCACCCTTATACTTAAGAGTTTTTATGATATTAAGAAAAAATAATTGTATGTATTCTTTTATTTATTCATATTGCGAACTCTGCGAAAATACTGAAACGGTACAATGTGAGTTAATTTGAAGGTCCCTCGTTAGTCCCCATGATGCCTTTATATAATCCGTTTCCTAGATGCTTAAGAGCCGTTTTCGCTTCCTAGTTTAAATAATAAAAAACTCTCAATTATATTTAAGTAAATATTATTACCTCACAAGCTGCATTAAGTTCCTGACCAGGAGTGAGATTGGTCTTCTCCTTAACTGCATCTTTAACGTTTTCTTTAGCAGCCTTTGCGTGATCCTTTGCGTCAGCCATGTTGCACAATTTACTTGAGTTAAAAGCTGAATCTGAAGCAATATTTATATTGTTTCCTTACCAAAAAATTCTAAATGTTAAAATTTTAGGTTTACTTTCCAAATTAATATGGTTTATTGAAGGAAAAAGATGATTAGTGGTAAAAATTTTAAAATTTAACCTTTATAAATATATAAACATGCTTTTTTTAGGTCTTTAAAAATGGCAATGGGCCGTTTATTTTACCAATAGGTTGGCATTTATAATTTTTGCCCACATGCGCTAAACATTTATAACTTTCCCTTCTTAGGGGTTATACTTTGCCAACGATAAGTAAAAAACTTAATATAGATTTAATAACCACCTAAAGATAGTGTATTTCTAAGAATTCAGGACTTTCTAATTATTAAAAGAGGAACGAAGTGGCATTTACAGTTTACCTTTTAAATAATTATGTTTAGGTTTTATCTTTATATGCAAACCTTAATAACACGTTAATTCTGCTACTATTATTTTAGCAGCAAGTTTAAGGTCTTAAAAAGGTTTCCTTGAAAAACAAAACATTAACAAATTAATTACTTGGGTAATAAATAAGGTGGGACAAGTTAATGTTGAGCCTTGTTTAGTAAATTAATCGCCGTTTAGAAGAAAGGTTGAAGTAACTGGTATCGTTAAATTTCGTAAACATGTGCAAAAACTTCACCTCATTTAGTATGCATTAATACATAATTTATTTTAACTTCAATAAAACAGTTTTTAATTAATTCAAGTCAGAGCTATACTACGATTGTCGATGTAAATTTTTTACGTCTTCTCTTCATATGGCTTAATGTTAATACATTTAATATTTTAAAATCCCTATCAAGGACTTTTCATCTAATCCAGTCGCGTGCTGTACTATGAGCTGCCGTTAAAAATGTTTATCCATATATATTATTGTGTTTCTTTTATTAAATAGTACTTCTAAAATTATAAACATTTAAATACTAAGGTGCGTAAAAACATTAATCACTCGGGTCACAAGAGAAGTAAATAGAGAGCAGCGACATAATTTTATGGGGTTATTAGCGTCACACCTAACTTAAATCACACTACCCCCAAGTTAAAGAGCTTGTCGTTAATGTATTGTAGTGTTCACTAACGACACATATTCACAAGTAAAATCATCTTGAACCAACCCACTCACAAATTACAACAGATGTAAACAAAAGGGTCCTTATTCCTTGTTATCTTTTATTGCCCAAGTGAGACCCACAATAACACTCATAATAACATTATAATTGATTTAATACGTAAATACGTCATACTGGTATTAAGAAAAGTCGTAGTAGCTCAGCGCTTAAGAAGGGGCGCCCCTTTCCAGTCTTTGATAGTTGCACATTCATACTCAACCCCATTTATTCCAGTACAGCATCTTTAGTATTGAGCAAGAGCATTACGTTATCGCAAATGTTAGCAAAGAGAATTAAAATATATTAAAATTTAGGAAGGTTGGTAACCCAAAAAAATAAAACGGTGAAAACTCGAAAAATTATTAGAAGCAATATTTAAAGTTTTTGCAGACTCGTTAAAGTTAAAGTTAGTGCCCTCTATAAGTAACTTCCTACTCTTTTTTGGAACAGAAGTCGGACAAACTAGTTAATTGTATAGTCTCTTCTGATATATGGTTATAGATGGATATTAAAATATAGCTAGGCAACCTTGGGAAGCAGCTTAAAAAGCAAAATCAGATCACATGAGTAAAACAGACTTTAAACTTTATAATTCAACGTTTATACAACCTTTAATAAATTACTGAATTAATTTAAAAGTACATCAAATTAATGTGTAAACGAATAACAGAAGGAAGCTCATGTAAAGCTTGTTAATATAATAAAAGTGTAAACCAGAATATTTTTATTAAAGTATATGAAAATATAAAATAAAAGCCGTTCTCCCCAATCCTTACATTCGTTGTTCCTTAATAAAAACATGTTACGTAAGCAAATTCAGTGACTTCGTTGGACTAAAGATACAATAAGAAAAATTTAATGTACGGCAGCAGCTTATATTATCTTGTCCCTTTCTTTTCTGATAGGAGTAGGAACAAAAATATAAGACGTTGTGCACTACAAAAACTTAACAAACATTGCTTATATTTTTAAACTTGGCATTAGCAAGCAAAAAATGCTTCTAACTTTTTACTAAATGCATTTACATAATGTTGCTTCAAAAAAACCGAATTCCTTTTTGCACTTTATTCCAAAATTGCAACGGCTTTATTATATAACTTAAGCTCTATGAAGTTTTTCCGATTTTAGTCTTCCTAATAAAGCTTTTAGAGCGTGCTGGAAGGTATCAGTAAACATCGTCGAGCATTTTTGAAGACAAACCTTAAGTTTTAAAAAAAAACCTCAAAGTTACTTATTAAAAAAAACCTAATAATTCTACTTTTTCGTTGTTCATAAGCAGGGGGCTGGGTCTCTGAACGCAAGTTTCAAAACAACTGTTTGTCATGTACTTATTAAACAAATAGTCACTAAGCAACCAAAAATAAAACTATATTTAAATGAATGACAACTTTTATATTTAAAATTTAAAAAAAAAAAAAAAAAAGGAACTGACATAAGTTACTAAGAAATTTTAGTTTAGAAGGGGAAATAATAAATCTGTATATAAAACCTAGTGACTATAAAAAAATTAAGTATAATAATAAAGTAAACTGTATAAAACAGTCAGTTATGTCTATTACAAAAAATCAATATATATCAGTGACTTGTACACAGTTATTATATAAGTATGTGTGTTTATCCAGTGAACTTGTGAATTAAAAATAATTTTAATCTTTTCACTTCGTAAAAATATTATTCTTAGACAAAAGCTTTCTCTTTCTAACCTGTAAAAAAAACTGATAATTCTGTATCGCAAATCTATTTTGAAGGGAATCTTTCGCCTGTTCAGGAGTTAACTGAGACAACTCCGAAAGTTCGAGATCTTCAAACGCCATTACGACAACAGTAACTTACCGCTCGCCAAGCTCGACTTTTATGCGTAGAAACAACGTGTCAGTCTCATAGTTATGGGGCAGAGATAGACAACCCTTTGTAATATTAACGTTAGCTATAGTATATTTAATATTGGCCTTAAAGAAATTTAATATTGGTTTTATAAAGTCATTTTAATTCAAGTGCTATAAAATATTTAGTTCAATTTGGTAGGCAAGTCAAATTATTTAAGAAATTTTATTTTACTAGAATTCCTTTTGATTACCTTGATTTTATGCTACCTAATTACTTTTAAAAGGGAAAATAACCTTATTATTGCAATGTTTATAATATGTAAACACGAGTCTTTAATTTTATGTAATACGCTCTTCGTTAACCGGACCTTTTGTCTATTGTGCTGATGCTTGAATACCCTTCAATAGACAATTTATATAGCCAAGGATAACACGTTTAAAGCTAATAGAACTATTAAATTCTTGCCATTTTAAGAACAAGGATATAATGTAAAAGGTTTTTTTCCATGATAAACTTACTATTATTTTATTTTTTTTATTTGACGTGTAGTACTATTTATTAAAAATAAATTTTCGGCCTTAAATAATATAAGTGCTTCTAATAATTTATTTATCGCCTACGAAGCCTACCATGATCGGCTTTTTAAATTTTTGTATTGGGTGTCTATATAACGTTACTTCAAAGACAGTTCTAATGCAAACAGTCGCATGGAATATGAGGTTATCAACATAATTATTCAAATATACGACATTTATAGAAATAAATAGGTATATGTGCTAATATTACTTTTTTTAATCCTCTTGATCTTATTTTCTGTAAGTTTTAATTTGGTGCTCCTAGAAAGTTCAATATTATCAAATAAATTTCTACATTACTTTTAGTACTTCAACCACATAGTTATATTACGTTAAAGACTATAGTATATTTTATTGTTATATTATATAACGTATTGTTGTATATATACTGTCGAGGGCTTCCGACCTGTAAAAATAAAAATAAATTTTATATAACCAAATATTGCTTTATTTTCATTGTATTTATTAAGCGGAAGTTGTATTAATTAATTAATTTTCCTAGAAGCCTAAATATAAATAGGTTCTTTTGTTTTTTCTTTTACTGTAAATTTTTAGTTAAACTATAGGGTTTCTACCAATAAAGCAAGCTAATGGGCTTCTTACGCGGTTGATTAATGCGCTGATTTAGGGGCTTTTAGTTAAAATGAGCTTAACGAGACGTCATGATTACATCCTTAATAATATTAGGGTGTGTCTCGGATAACGTGAATTACCTTGTTAGTATGATCCTGATATGGCTTGGCAAAATCAGCTATTTTCCCCTGGTATTGCAATATATGATGCACACGAGCCCTTTAACGATATTAATCCTTTGCATAGTACTACTTGACGTCTAAGTGCCGGTACCATTTTCTTCCATTGCGTGTAATTATCTTAAATTTAGTTAACAGTCCCGCTATTCAACATATATTACAGCACTTCAAGAGTAAAATATCCAGCTTCTTCTATTTATGAAGCAAATACTTTTATTCCAATTCTCTTATATGGGATGCAAATACGTTTGTTATAATTCTTCTGTCTATTTCCACTACATAGCTAGTATCAGAGAAAACTCGAAGTTTAATGGTGTTACTTTTGGCAGCTTCACGGCACCACCTTAATACATCAAAACAATTGTTGCGGCTTAGAAGGTTTTTAAAGTTGAGTAAGTTAATATCATGGCCATAGCTAAAGTTGCGAAGATTCCGAAATTGCAACCAAGGTCTATATAGGAATCTAATTTTCTTTCCCATGGGCGTTAGATACTTATAACTAATAAGAGAAGAGTTACCCTTGCACTTCCCTCTTTAATTAATACGCCTTTATATACTCATATAAAGTAAAATGGCAGACCTTGCAACTGTCATTAATAAGAGTGCTTCAAGGGTTTTCTTTTATATAGCGCATTTAAATAGTGCTTCCGTAGCCATAATTTTTTGTTTCATTTTTTAATGACTTTTATGTTTTTTTAAGCTATTACGATGCTGCTAAGGTTTTTTTTTGTTAACCTTGCCAACCAGAACATCTAATTTTGCTATTCGTTTCCTTATGACTGAGCCAGACTTGTTCCGACGTTCAAGTCTACTATCTATAATTCATATAAAAAATTTTTTAAGCGAAGGTGTTGTCATCTAAAGTTCACTACTTCATTGAACATTGCAAACAAGCAGAAAAAAAAGTTTCGTAGCCTGTTATTACGTGAATAATTCTTTTCCGTTTTAATGGCAATTCCCTGATATGTCGTGGAGAATAAAAGTTTCAGTTGACCAGAAATAAAAGGAGGCCTTTGCTTTTTTTTTTTTAAAGCTATTATGATGATATTCTATAAGTATATGGGAGGCGGGTACGTACCGTGGGCAGGGGCTGCATTATGTTTAAAGAAAAAAGTCTATTTCAACTAAAGTTATTATTGCCAAGTAGATAGTTAAAATCTCGTAAATTATTAAGAATAATTTTTAATAAATTATAAAACTTAAAATAAATTAAAAATAAAAAGAATTTTTATTAAATTATCAAAAAAATAATTTCGTATAAAATATAAGCTATAATAAATTTTTCTTTGAAAATATAGACTACATAGTTGAATATATTATAAACGCTGTTAATGTTATTTGTAAAAGTCAGAATTCTTTTACAAATTACACATTTAAAAAAAATTAATAAAATTTAAATAACTCATAAATATTGAAAATGACTTAAATTAATCGCTAAGAAAAAGATTTTTATTGTCAAATTTAAAGTAAATGTGACTACTGCGTATTCAGAGAAATAGGTTCCTCCCTACCTCGAGATCCTATAAAGTAATAAATAAAATCACTTTTATATAAAATTAAGCTTTAACAAAATTAACAATTAACAATAAATTTTTTAAATTAGTATTAAAAGTTGATTTAAAATTTAAGGAAACTACCAAAAGATAATCTTTATTTAATTAGTTTTTCTACAGATAAATTTTAGAATTAACTTAAATTATAAAAAAATTAGAAAAATTTAAAATTTAATAAGTTCGGTATTCTTTAAACTTATTATAAGATAAATTTAATGTGTAAAAGTTAAAGTTTTTATAAATTTAAAAATTACTTTTAAGGATTTTTATAAGAAAATTTTAATAACTTTGCATCCTTTTATAATAAAATTTTACTTTCGCTAAATAAAATTCTTATAATAAGTTACTTTTGATATACTATTATAACAACAAAGAAATAATAAATCTAATTATAATAAATTTACTATAATTTTCTACAGTTAGAAAAATCAATTGATTTACTTTACATTGACGTTAAGAAGAAATTTTAATAAATATATTCAAATAACTTTAAATAAATTACTTTTAAAAAATAGCAATAAAAAAAATTATTAAAGATTACATTTCTTTATAATTTTTAGTAAGTGACTACAAAATATTGAATCTCAACTAAAAAGTAATTAATAAATTATTACAAAACAGAAAATAAAGAAAAGTATTAGATTATATTAAAAAGATAATTTTAAGTAAAGTTACCAATCCCTGAAAATTCATAAATTATTTTTCATGTACAAAATATTTAACAATAATAAAATTAAATTTACAAGTAAAAAAAATTAAATTGTTAAAGGGAACAAAAGGTTTCATCAACAAAAAAAAAATTTAAAATCTGTAAACTTTAATTAAAGTAGTCCTAAAACTTATATAATTTACTTTTCAGTTATCGCCAAAAAATTTAAATTAAAAAATTAAAAATAAGAAAAATTATTAAAATTAAACTAATAACGAAATTTTTTTTTTATTGTAGTAAATTTTTTATACTTTTAGTTAATACTAAGAATTAAGAAAACCACTGAAATTAAATCCAAAGAAAATTAATTATAAGTAATAAAAAAATACATATATAAAAAGAAATTTAAAATCCGTAAACTTTTATAATAATAATAAAATTTATAATTTTACTTTCAATTTTGGTAGAAATTTAAATTTAAATTTAAATTAAGTAAAAATATAAGGAAAAAGAAAACTATAAAAATTAATTTATAAATTAAAATTATTTTTATTTTTATTTATGGTATACCCATTCGTCTGTAGAATTTTAAATAAAATTAAATTTAATTTTGAAACTTTTTTAGTAGTAATAATAAATTTATATATACAGTTTTAACAGAAATTAAAAAAATAAAAAACTAACACATTTAAACTTAGCTTTATACAATTTTTAATAAAATTCAAAAAAATACTTTTATTTATACACAAACAAAAAATTAATTTTATTTAAAAATTATTTTAAATTTTAACATTTTTTTAAATTAATAATTTGGTTACACAAAATTATATAATTTAAATAATTTACTTTTAATATAAATACAAAAAATAACAGAAAAACTCAATAACTATTTTAGGAATTGTAACAAATTTGTTAATACAAAAATAATAATTTACTATTTTGTATAGAGAAAACGATAATAATAAAAAACTAAATATAAATAATCAAAAAGTTAAAAACCTTTTACTTACGGAAAATTAATTGAACAAAATAAATTAAATTAAAGAATTACTTTTTTATAATTTAAAAAAAAACTTAATTAAATTTTTTAAAATTAAAAACTTTTTTATATACGAAAAAAAATTAACCAAAATTAAATAAGATTAAAAAAATTTATAACCAAAATTATTTTATAGGAATTGTAATAGAATTAATTAGAGATAAACAAAATTAAATACAAAAAAATTATTTTTCAATATAAAAGAAAAATAAGAAAACCAACTATAACTGATTTATAAAACAAAGTTTTGACGATTTTAAAGAATCCAAAACCTTTATAATTTCGTAATTCTCTATTAATCAAATACTTTTCGTCCCGAATCGTGTCGTGCAGTCGTACGAAATACGAACGCAACTTATTAGTCGACTGCCTTTTTTATTTAAATGTAAAAAGTTTATTAAAAATAATTTAATTTAAGAATTTTAATTTCTGTAAAAAAAAATTATTAAATCATTTTTGTATTATAATATTTATTTATTATTAAATAAAAATAAATCAAAAGTTTTAAAAATAAAGTTAAAAAATAATCATCTGTTCCTCATTTAATAGTAAAATTAACATAAAACTAATTTTGAAACTTCAAAATTTATTTCTACTTTAAGAAAGTTGGCAAATTTAGTTATAAAAATATTTGATTACTTGAAATTATTTTATAGTTTTGTAATTATTGTCTAGAAAGATTTACTTTCTCGTGAAAATAATTTAAAATTAACTATAATAATTCTAACAATGCACGCAATCTTAAAACGAAACTTAATTTTTAATATAAAAAAAAATAGTATAATTTTTAGTAAAAATAATATTTTATAAATGCTCAGAAGCTACAAAAGATATTGCCAATGAGAAATTTTTTGGATAGTTATTATTTTAAATTCATAATTGTCGAATAATTAACTTTCTAAGCAAATATTATAAATATTTCTGGTTGCGTTAAAAAATATAAATTTGATTATATTAAAAGTATAATTAATTCAGAGATTTTAAAAATAAATTATAAATTTCTGAGTAATAAATTTATAGTTGATGTACAAATTTTCTTCTACTATTAACATTTAAAAGTAAATATTGTACATCCACACAATAAATAATGATAAATAATATAATAATTAAAAATAATATTTAAAAAAATATAAATAAAAAAATATTATACAATAAAAAAGTGTAATTACTATTATTATTAAAAGTAAAATAAAGTACCAGCATATACAAAAAAGCATCAGAGCAGAGTAGCTGAATCTTGAAAGCAGGGTTCTTATATAAGCAGACTCCACTAATAATAATGAAAAAATATGAAATATTGAATAAAGTTCCGATTAAGTTTAGTAAAAAATATAAAAAACAAAAAAAAAATTATTAAGTTTACTTGCTTCCCTTTACAATATTAAAAAAAAATAATTCAAAGAATAATAATTATTAGGGATAAAAAATATATATATAAACTTTTTTTTTAATATAATCAAAAAATTACTTTTTCACAAAATACATAAAAAAATTAAAAATATTAATACAACTTATTCATATAATAAAAAATTTTAAATTATAAATAATAAAAAATACTAAAAAATTTATAAAAAGTTATTAAATTATAATAATAATAATAATAAATATTTAAAAATATATAAAAAAAGACGAAAAGTTAATACAAATTTATTAAAATATAATAAAAAATAATAAAAAATATACACATAAAGTAAAAAGTTATTACATATTTATTTATTTATCGTAAATCATAAATATATAAAAAGTCATACAAATTTTATAAATTATAATAAATTATAAGAAATACATAAAAAGTCAAAAAGTTAATACAAATTTATTAAATAATAAAATTTTATAATATTGAAAAAAATATAAATAATAAATAATAGAAAAGCAGTAAGTTTAGTAGAAAATAATCAACTAATTTTAGTTTTATTATTATTCAATAGTAAATAATGGAGAAGAAAAAATTTTTTTTCTTATTTTATTAAAGTTTTACTATTTATATATTTTCTTGTTATTCATATTAAATAATATACAAAGTTTTCTTTTTCTTATATAATACTTTGAAAGTACATTTATATATAAAAAAGTTTTGTTTTTTCATATTATTATAGTAAAAAGTAAACAGTATTTCAAATTTTCTTATTTTCTTATTTTATTACATTTAAAAGAAAAAATTTTTATTATATTTAGTTTTCTTAATATCTATAAGTAAATGATATACAAAAAAGTCTTCTTTTTTTTTAATGTTTTAAAAGTAAATAATTTACAAAAAGTTTTATTATAGTATTTTTTTATGGCCAAAAGTAAAATAACAAACAAAATAATAAATTTATTTAAAAATTATATTTATTGTAAATAATAAAAATTTTAATATCAAGAAATAAAAAATAATAATTTTACTTTATGTATATTTTTACTTAAAATTCATTATTTCATTATATTTATATTTTATACTTAATAGTTATATATTTTATGTTAATATAAAAAAAATTTATTTATACTTTCAGTAACAGACTTTTCTTTTTATAAAAGTTTTGTTATATAATGAATAATAATTTTTTCTTAATACTTTCAATAAGAAACTTTTTTATTTTTAATACAAGTTTTTGTTAGATAATAAATAATAAGGGTTTTTTTGTCACTATAATAAACTTTACTTTTTTTTTTTTATAAAAGTTATTATGCGTGTAATCAAATTTTATGTTTATTTCGCTAAGAAACTTTTTTATTTATAATAAAAGTTATAATGATAATATTATTTTATTTATACTTTCGATAACGAAAACATCATTACAACTTTATAATTTTTTCATAAATTCGTTTAATAAATAATAAAAATAAAATTGAACATAAAAACTTTTTATATATATTTAACAATTTTTTTATTTTTTTTTTATAAAATATAATTTTTTACTTTTATTTTTTATTTCTATAATTTGCAATTTACTTTTATATTTATTATTTATAATAATAATAATAATAGTAGTAGTAAACGCTCATAAAAAGAGTGTACTTTTTTTCATTAAATTTATTTACTCTTAATTGTCATTACGAAAAGTTGCTTTAAAATAATGAAAAAAATAATATTCATAAAGTTGATAAAAAAATAAGCCTCTTGCACCAAAATGAGGAAGGAGCCCGCGCGTGACAATGTACGGAACGCTCAGGAAAAGCCCCAACAACCGAATAAGAGGTAAAGCCACGTGGCTAGTCAGTCGGTCCAATTGGAATTCCCCCATCACTATACCGCTTCGTTGATTGGCAGCATTGACACGCGCATCGTCAAGAAGAGAACGAAGGGGCGCCACTTGGCCGGACATGATAACACACGCGACCAGTTTCATGAGAACAGCGCCCAATGCCCAAATCTGGCCAATGATATTTTAATGTAAAAAAAAATTGAATAGAAGAATTTATAATAAAGTAACCTGAAAATAATTAAATAGCGCAGCTTCATTGGTTGAAACAAAAAGCGGAGCAATAAATGTGAGTTCAAAGAGAGCGCCCAAAAGAGATGGAAGGACCAATCCAAATGCAAGAAGAGCCCCAACATATTGAAGAAGCTACAAAGTCGAGAAAAGTGATAGAGAAAATACTTTAATTAAATATTCGGAAATAACGTTGATAAAACTTGTAGCCAATAGAATTATAGAGAAAACCAACAATGTTGAAGCATACTCCGATGGGCGCTTTCAAAACGACCCCCCTCCAATCATATCCCAGAAGTTTTGCGCTAACATTATAAGCGCCAATGACGATGAAGACCACAGAGAGCCCAAACGCAAAGTTATAAAAGTCGTTTAGCGATTGATTGAACACATAAAAAAGCACCCATCGGCCAATAATAACTAAATTATAAATTTAAAATAAGCGGATTGGTGGGCTAAAAAACAGCATAAAACATACCAGGAGCCGTAAGAACGATAACAGCCAATGAAAAGAGTGAAAGCCACATGAGCACAATAAAAAGAAAAATCTACCAATTATAAAAGATTAAAAGAATCAATAATAATAATGAAAGAAAAAACGTACCCGCATTAGAAAATACGGAGGTTTATATGCAACGCCTCCAAAAGAATCTTCGCAATGCTTCTTTTTATCCAATGAGGTGTTCCCTTTATTGATGAGTAGTATCAATGTTATTATTGAAATATAAAATTTATTAGCAGTTCAATGTTTTATTATTAATTCATTATCCAGTAAAACTTTCTTTACTTATTATAATGTTCTTATGAATATTTATTTGTTCTAAAAAATTCATTAATGTTTAGACAAAAAAGTCCAAATAAAGAAACATAAAATTTCGATATAAAAATATAACCGAGAAGATAAGAATGGATCCTCAACAACTGAGATATTTTCAAAAGCCACCAATGAAGGACTTGCTTGCAAACAGACTGAAGATCAATAGAACGCAAAACTCGTGGAAGCAGCCAATGAAAGATAAGCAATTCAACAGGAGCGTTAAAAAGAGGAGCCCCGTCCAATGGCAGTCTGTCATAAAATATTATTATCATAATTTTTATTATCATAAATAAAAAAGCGTATAAACAGTGAAATAGAAAATTCTTTTATTACATGCACAACACATTTAATAATGAAAATATAAATAAAAGGTTACATATTATTATAAGTTCGTTAAAAGTTGTGCAGATAAAAAGTTATCGAGAAAAAATAATGAAAACAAACTCCAGCGGACGCCGTGCGTATATGTAGCTTAGCAGGAAACGGTTGGCCTTCAAAGGCATGAAAACCAAACCGCCAATCGTTGTCGCATATAGCACCAGCGAAAAAACGAATCTACGCGCGTATTGGTGCAGGGGGATCACCAACATGTCTCTGATTGGCTCAAAAGAAGGATCATTAGGATCCCGCAGGAACCAGAGAACGCCCGGCCTCAGTTCTTTACGAAGAACTACCAAAATAATAATGAATATATAAAAACATTGAAAAAAAAGTGCAACACCAAATATAAAAGAGGCAAAGTGCGTTATATAAAGCATCCCAACCAACCAATGGAGAAACAAAGAAGTTATTGGGTATCTATGAAAAAAAAACACGCGCGCAGAAAAGTTCGTCCGTAACCTGAAAAATAATAATGCGAAAAGAAAAAAGTACCAAAGAGAAAGAAAACAGCTGATAAGTGGATAAAAATAGAAATTAATTTAAAACGTTTTTGATTGGTCAGAAAATAGGCAATAAAAATTATGGGTCACCAGCTGACAGAACAGTAGTCTATCCACCAACCACAGATAGCGGGAAACAGCCCTTTCATTATTATTATTTACTATTGTTATTAAAGCTTCATTGCAAGAGAAGTAACGTAACAAAAAATTTTATGAATTTTATTATCGCTATCATTATAAAGAAAACGTTGATCTACTGTTTCTCTAAATATTTTGATTTTTAGAAGCTACCTACCCAATTCGGCCGTCAGCAAGCCAAATACTTTGACGTACATGCAGGCCAACTCCAAAACTTTGTCCACCCGCGCTAAAAAGGTAGACCTTCCCCTGTTGATAATAGCAAACGTCCGACGAATTACTAAAGGACCAATTAAAAATTTACACAAGTATCCACCAATGAATTTAATATAAATTTAATAGTAATCAAGTTGGCAAAAAAGCAAGTGATAAACTAAATGCACCAATAGCAAGGAGTGTGAGAGATAGATAGCCAATCAGCGAAGTAAAAAGAACGGTCCAGTCAGAGCGGGCGATAATATTCACTGCTTTTCTCAGCAATAAAAGTTTGGAGTGCACTGAAAAAATAAATATAACTATTCCATAGGAAACCAGCCAATTAGGAATATATATTTTAATAACGCGACTATTATGATCAATTATAAGTTATAGTTAAAAAGTTATATATCCTCATACGCAAATGTTGGGCGTTGGTGAGAAGGAGAGACCCAACACAATAAGGAAGAAACACAAAAGTTCCCACCACCATAGAAGAAACAAATATTGCCCAAAACAAGTTCTCGAATAGAAGGCGGAGAGGCCCAGTAAACCCCAAAACTTCTGTGGAATAGTACAAAAAAATATGGAACACCAAAAACGAATGAGTGATAATAGAAATACTTCCATAAAAATAATGATAGTAATAATACCAACAACGGAACTCTCTTCGGCGGCATTAATAAGAAAGTTTGGAATAAAATTTTCATTTTCACCTTCACTTTCACTATTTTCTTCGCCATCAGATTCACGAATGACAGCTGATGACAATAATAATACAATAAAAGTTAAGAAGTGAATTATGTAATTTTTCACTAATAGTGTTCAGTACTTCTATGTATTAGCTGAAAGACTTTCCGATTGGTTAATGTGCACGTGTTTTTTCATTATACGAATAAATTTTATATAAAGCTTTTTTTTCTGACTTTTAAATTTATTATTGTAATATCTCTTTATAAATATAAACTTTTAGAAAGTTTTATTAATAGTAAATAATACATATTACAAAAATTTATGATTTTTCATTATGTTTACTGCGAAAATAAACATTTATAGATTTTTTAATATAAACTTTTGATATTATTTTTAATAGTATAAATTATTTACCATAAGCTTCATTATAAAAATATATACAGCAAAAGCGACTTTTGATTGGGTTATTAGGAAAATTACTATAAATAAAAAATATAAAAAAGAACTGCTAATTGGATACTCAGAAGCCAGATATATACTATTTATTATAATTATCATCATTATTATTATTTTTCTATTTATATAAATAAAGCGTAAGAAAAAAGTCTCTTTTTCATAAAAACTTCTTACCAGCATCACCAATAGAATCACTTCTTTCACTTTGATTCCAAGCTTAAGAAAAGCAAAGATCATTAAAAAAAATTGAACTTTATTGTTATGAAACATATACGAAAAATAAAAAAAAAATAAAAGTGTTTTACTTTTGCTGCTATTAATATTTTGTTGAGTAAATACTTATTACCAATTCTTTCATTATTTTTAATGAATAACTTTTATGGAAAATTATGATTTTGTATATAAATATATTTTTAAGTTCTCTATTAAACTTTTTACTTTTTCCATAAACTTTTTGAAACTTATTAAAAGTAAAAGTAAATACTTTACTTTCTATTATATTTATAACTTTTATAAAACTTTTTTGCTTTAATAGTTTATTTTTATAGTATTTTTAAAAGAATGCGAAGTTTAGTGTATGAGTATATATACTCGATAGACTTTTCGAAGAAGGAACGCTTGCACTCGCCTCTTCCGCCACGTGAGGGTGTCGAGCTACTAGAAACTCGCGAAAATGCGGATCTTCGTTGCTGCGTTCTACTATTCTGCACAAAAATATATAAAAAATATTAAAAAGTATAATCTTATATAAAACTAATAAATAACTGTAAAAATAAAAAGTTTACTATATAAACTTTTATAAAACAAAAATATGTAGAATAGTAATAAATATATATATAATAAAATTTTTCTAGAGTAAATATTATAAAAAAAGAATTTTTCTTAATATATTTTTTAAAAATATATTAAAAAACTTCACAAATGTATAAAAAACTTTAATAAAGTAAAGTTATTATAAAATAATAATACACAAGTTTAGTAAAAATACAATATATATAAAAATAAATATTAATAATTATAAAAAATAAAAAATACGTAAATAGTTATAAATAAACACCAAAACCTTAAAAAGGAATATAATGTTTATATATAAAAGCAATAATAATAATAAAAAGATTTCTAACTATTTAAAATATTATATAGAAATAATAATAACGAAAAATATTTATTTACATATAAAAATATAAATAAAAAATAAAGTTTTAAATAACTAATATATATAAAATAAAAAAATATTAACAAAAAATTTCTATTTACGTACAAAATATAAAGGAAATAAAAAAAGTTTATATATAAATTATAAATACTAAATAAAAAAATAGAACAAGCATAATAATAATAAGTGCAGTATAAAAATATAAAATAAATAAATTATAAAAATATTAATAGAAATAAATTATGAAGCTCTAAAAAATGTAGAAGAGTAAAAATATAACCACAAGACATAATAAAATTCATTAATAAATATAAAAATATATATAAATTCTTTAAGTGCTAAAGAAAAAACTTTTAAGTTTGTAAAAAATAAAAGTATTCATAAAAAAATACATCTAATAAAAAATTTACTAATACATAGAAAAAAATGAATTAAAAAAAAGTTTATATATTAATAAATAATGAAAAATATATAATGAAACAATAAAAATAATAAATATATAAAAAATAATAAAATATATAAGAATATAAAAGTGTTAACAAAGAAAGATACAAATATAAAAATAATATAAAATATAATAGTATACACAAAACTACAAGAAAAAGTTAATAAAATTTATAAAAATGTTAACAAAAATTATGAAGATAAAAAATAAATATAAATTTATAACAAATAAATTAATTTATAAAATTATAAGCAAAAAAGAAATTAAAATTAATAAATACTAATAAAATTATAAATTATTATTAACTTATAAATTTATTATAAAGAAAATATTAGTAAGATTATTATTAATTACAAAATATATAGTTCATGCCATAATTGTAAAGAAAATATATAGTAAGCAAAGAAGTTTACATATAGAAATATAAATAATAATAATAAGTAAAACGGAAGAGCCTTTGATGCTGCTGCCTTTGGGCTTCTTCCTCGTCGAAGTTGGAACCAATAAAATTATAAAGAGCCAATGAGGCCACCAGCACCAGAACAAGGGCAGCAGAAATAATGAGCCCGTGAACGCAACTAGAAAAAACATACCTAAAATGATTACCGTTACTTCACAAAATAATAAAAAAATATAATTATTATAAAAGTTCAAAAAAAAAACTACTTTTATATATAATGATGAGAAATAAAAGTTTTATTAGTAGCATAAAAGTAGAATTGTTAATAAAATAATCACAATTTATATTCATCTAAAATTTTAGTAGTTATAATAGTTTTTTATATATAAACACTAAAATAATAAAAAAATGTCCTTACAAATATAGAGAGTTTAGCTCTGCGCGCCAAAAATGACTACTTGAGAAAAAAAACCGCCAAACTTGAGATAACATAAAAGGAAAGAGGCCCATCCAGCTAGAAAGGTATAGAATTCCCAAAATATTAAAAATTACTATGAATTTCTGCTTAACTATAATTATTATTATTGACCTTTATAAAGTTTATACAGCGTATTACTTATTTCCAAACAAACTAAAAGCACAAAAAGGTTGTAAATCACAAAATCAGAAAACAAATACTAAAAAGTTTTATAAATAATATAAGCAAACAGTAAAAAAAAAGTTTATAAATGATAAATTTTTAAAAATTAAAAAAATCTTGGTAGTAAAAAAAATAGTAACGTAAACTTAGAATTTTGTAAAAACTACTTAATAAAATGATAAAAGAAATAATAAAACCCAAAAAATAGTAAAAAGTTAAATTATTTCCTAAATATTTTAAGTAAAGCTAATAAAACAAAAAAATTTTAAGTAAAGATTTAAATAAAAGTTTAAAAAATAAATTAAATTAGAGTTAAGTAAAAACATTATATAATAAAATAAGACCTCTATAAAAACTAAAAAAATAATAAATAAAATAAACATAAAAAGTAAAAGCGTATCAAAGTTTTTTCAAAGTTTAAATAAAATAGTAATATAATAGTTGTAAAATAATTCACACCTTTAAAAATATTAAAAAATATATTTCGAAGATAATCAACCTTATATAAATTATTTCAACTTGAAACAGTTTTAAACATTAATTTCGAAATTTAGCAAATAAGAAATTTTAAAAATAAAAATTATAAAAAAAATTATTTTTAAAATTTTAAATAGGAAAATAAAATTTTTTTTTTTTAAAATCAACTCAAAATAGAGTAATTTTTAATAATAAGTAAGGCAAGAAGTATTTAAGATGTAATAATGTCATTTTATACTAAAACTAAAGAAGTCATTAATACAAAACTTTTTTTAAAAAATAAATTAAATAATAATTTCATATAAATCTTTATGTTCATAATAAAACTAAAATGAAGATATAAGGAACAATAAAGAATTTAAAATTTAACAAGTTATAATATATAAATTTTTTAAATTACATTTACCGCAATATATAGAAAAGAATTGAAAAATAAAAAGTAATTTTAAAAGTTTTAATTATATAAATTTTCAAAGTAAAAATTTATTATAAAATTGAAGATAAAAAATTACTTTGATTTGCAAAAAAAAAATTTTGTATACATTAATAATTATAATTTCGAAAGTAAAAAATTAAAGTTGAAAACAATAAAATTTCTAAAAAATAATAAATAAATAATTTCTTAAAAAGGAAATTAAGAAATATAAATCTTAATAAATCTCCAAATATAAATAAATCCATAATTAAAACAATTATTGACAACTTTTAATATTTTTCAAGTATGCCTAAATGAAATACAATTAAAGTAAAAAATCACAAAAAAATCACAAATATTTTAATTTCATAAACTTAAAAAATGTTAAGTGGGTAGTAATTATTATAAAGTTTAAATAATAAAAAAATTAACTACATAAAGTTAAATAAAATAACCACTTATAAATTTTAGTATTTCATAACCTTAAAAAAGCTTAATTATTAATGATATTCGTAATGTACTTAAACAAATTATACTATAATAAACATAGTTAAAATTTTTTAAATTTCTTCTTACCAACACGCTACAAATATGACACGTAAAAACTTTCCGAAACAAATTGAAAACTGTATTAAAGCGCCATAGACGAACTCGATCAACGAAAGTTTCTTTGGGGTGTTTTCTTTATATACTGCAATATAAAAAGAAGGGTATTTTCCCCCTGATTTTATTTATTATAATTATTAAAAAAAAATACTTGGTTTAAAATGAAACTGGTAGTGACACAATTCACAACAAGTGTTCCCGCTGTGACTAAGCCAGTTAACCAAACTTTTAAAGATTACTATTCTATTATTTATTAACTATCCTTTAACAATATACCATTCTTGATGAATAAATTTAATACTTCCTGCGCACAAACATGGGCTATACAATAAATTTGCTTGAGATGATTCGCACCTGCAAACACGGCAGATATCTTTTTCTAAATTTAATTTAAAGAACATATGTTTATACATATATATGAAGTATAATACAACCTTCCATATTTTTTAATAACTTGGTATAATAAAAAAGTTTAAATTAGATGAAAAGTTAACTATATTATTCACTTTCCGTTTTCTTTAACGACTAACAATTCAACAGAAAACTGCATAAAGACCTGAAGTAGGTCTCGCATGACTAAAATTTCTAGCGCAGCTCTTCTTTCCTTAAATATAAATCACGCACTGTTATTGGTGGCGCCGTGCAGTGTTTTAAAAGTTGTGTTCGTACTGGACAGATACTAAAAAAGAAACTCATATTTTATTAATATATTATCATAACTATTGATAGCATGACATAGAATAAATATCATGTTATTTTTGTCAAGGTTGCACAACTGCAGGTTCCAGTTATGGAACTTAATTAACTAAAGGGCGAAGTTAATTTTACGGTTCAGCCCGTTTAAACTTTACCCCCCAAAAAAATAAAAAATATTTAAATTACAGGGAAGTAAGAACTACTTATTGCGCTAACAAAAAATGACTTTTTCTTTAAAGAGTACAGAAATTTAAAAAGATAGATCAAAAAAAAAATTTAATTAAATACTTTTGTAATGAGAAAAATAAAAATAAAAATAAGAGTTTGCTTATAAAAATGTGGGACTTAGTTTGCAATCTCATACGAAGTCATCCGAGGAGTAATAACCCCTTCTTACTACTCAAAACCTACATTTGAATGTTTGCTGTTTGCCTTTATAAAAGAAAAGCACATATCGATGGAATTCCTTACGCCTACAAATAGTTGAACTGACAAAATTTACATAAGTAGAATAGGTGTGGCTACCTGAAAACTATATTATAACAATGAAAATCATTTTAAACTGGTACTAACCCTCTTTAACTAACAAACAAAAATAAAAACAGTAATTTATGTCCTCTTAATTTTTTTTATTAATTTGTTTAGGTGTTCTATAAAATCGAGTGCAGGTTGCCTAATTTTGCTAATAACGTTTAATTTTTTTTTTGCGTAATTTATATTCTTTCCGCAAGTCTTCCCATTATGCACTTACAGATGTGCGCCTAACCAGGAGACCTCAGATTCAATTTTAGGAGTATTTTTATACTGCCTTTAAGTGCGCGTATGGAGAGCTATGATGAGCAAAAAAATGGATAAACAAACACTCCACTTAACACTATGGAATACTTACATGAGAATTAAGTGCTATCCCTATAAATTCTTAATTTGTAAGAGCTCGCTCGGTCTTGGCCTACCTAAATTAAAGGTTAAATCTAATTTTAAATAAGAAGATTAACTTTGAAAAGGCGACGGGAACCTCATAAATAATCATTAACTTGAAATAGCACTTGAGGCTATTTGCTCAGTTATAGGAAATTACATACCACGTATCTATATACTTTGTAAGCGCATTAAAGCTACTGACACCACTGGTTTGGAGGGTTATCTTTAAGTGATCAAACAGGACCTGTCGACCTATGCTGAAACGATAAGAGATTAACTGAATTTATAGAATTTCAGTATTATTTTTAGGTAATTTAATTACCTAAAAATTTGTAAAAACTCTAATTTTGTCGTAAAGCGGTTAAAAAAGATCGGCTCTATGTCTATATGCATCATTATTTAAAGTGTTAAAAAGAGCAGAGCGGATTATATTTATAATTGCTTTTACTCTTTTCTTTGAAACTAGAGTAATTTTTATAAAGATATATTCAAGAAATACTCAAGCAAACAGCAACGGAAACCTAAAGTAACTTAATTTAGTTTCTTAACTAACGGAATTTTTTTACTGTATTTTGAAAATTTTTAATTCTTTATTCTGAATTAGTGTTTAATAGATTTACTATATGAATCCATAATATCCAAACTAAGAGTAAAAAATAATTTCTATAGTGTTCTCTTCCGCACGGTATTTCAAACTGTAACCGAAAACGATAAATAGGATTTCTGTATTGGTTGTATTATGTAAAGTAAATTTTCACTTAAATTAGTTGCCTCTTTTAAAAATCTTACTAATGGCGCATTAATAAGGAAGTTTAAATTAATAAATACGATTTGCTGCTGTAAAGTAATCTAGAATTAGAGACCTAGAATACCCCACTAAATAAAACAAAAAATAAGTTCTGCAATAACAAAATAAAATAACCTCAGGTAATTGCGGTAGGCTACAAAAATAAAGACATAAAGGTAAAATACCACTACATAAAGAAATGTCCTTTTTTATCCCGAAAATGTAATTATACCTAAAGCATGTTAAATTTGTTAAGACCGCTATTGAGTGAAGTTAATTCTTTCAAGCATGTTTTACAGGTCCGCCTTTGTATATTGCATGATTATTTGAAGGTTAAAATAGTCAGCACATGATTTTATAAGGTCTTTCATATTGTTTTTCTATGAGAAATGTTGACAGTACTGTATCAATTTTATAAAATATTATTTTTGAAAATTTTAGTGCTAATTTGTAGTAACTCCGATTTTTATCCGCCACTTAGCTCCTAACAGTAATCTCTTCACACCATGATTAAATGTCAAACTAAATTATTATAAACTGTTTACAAGGTCTAATTTAGGTACACTCTATTTTTATTTCCGTTAAACATGCTTAAATTATTCTTATAAAAAGAATTAACATGAATGAGCAAACTGCGTAGGTGGTATAAGACGAAAGACTTAATAAAATATTCACTTTTTAGTAGGGTGTTAAAAATTACTAAACATAATTTAAGCCCCCTATTAAAGATAATGAGGATTTTACGATATACATGAGATACGGCCATTAATTAGTCCCTATATTTTCTAATAACTTAAAATTCGAATTCATTTTAAAGTAATGACTAGAAAATGTAATAACTTCGGGATAAGGTTAAGAAAAACTGCTTTAGCCACAAAGCTTAATTTGAAATAGTATATCCTTTATGGATGATAATTAAGATACGGAGTTTCTACACTATTTTGATATATTAAACGTCTGTATACAAGTAATATATATAGTTACACTTACTAACTCTCTTCAAGTTCTATTCTAATTGTATAATCACACGATACCTAATATTTTGAGATTACGAACTCTTAAATTATTTTGTTAAAAAGCGATTAAAATTTATTCTAATAGCCTACAATTGTTGTAAAATAAAAGATTTATTAAAAAGTTGGTGGGATCAAATTGCTTTGCAGGGAATAGTAAGCTTAAAGGTTAACAATTTTGTTAACTTTATGACTGTAGAACTAATGAGTTTGCGCACCTTTATAATGCATCAAAGGGTGCATACATAATGCAGTGCTATTAATACGAATCATGTAATTAGAATAGCTTAAAGAATTTATAACTTTCATGGAGTTTTTCACTTGATAGACAACTACTACCTATTATATATATTAAATATCAAAAATATAGTTAATACTATAATTAAGCTTAAATAGACGATATCAATAATTTGACCGGCGGAAAAGCTAAAAAAAAAGCCTAGGGTAGTATGACAGACTTTTAAAAACTATATATTTTTTTTATTTTTCAATATAATTTCCATCTATTTCAGTGTAGCTTTCAAAGCGACCGTGCAATTGTTTTATTCCGCAAAAGAAATATTCTGAAACTTTGTCTGCTAAATGCTCATCCACAGTCGACCTCATTTCATTTCATTGAAAAATCTTTTACCACGTAATGCCTTTATTAAATTTTGTAACGAGAAAAAATCGCTGGGAGCCAGATCTGAACGGTAGGGGTGGGGGTGTGGGGGGTGGTTATTTCCTCGAAGCCCACATTTCGTATAGTACGCTTTGCAACCAGAGTTGAGTAAATCAGCGCGTGGTCTTGTAATAGGAAAATTCCTCTGTTAAGTTTGCCTCTGCGTTTCTCATTAAGGCTCGTCGCAATTGAAGGATATAGTCAACAGAACATTGCCCGTTCGTCATTCCTTCTCCAGGGAGGTAATTTACTAAAAGTATTCATGCGCTATCGTTGCCATAAGTTTGTTAGCCACTCTTTAAACCTTGAACTTGCGCGGTAACTTTTCTCCCTTTTTTATCCATTGTATGACCTTTGTCTGGATTCTGGATCGTCATGATAAAACCATGTTTCCTCACAGGGTAGACTGCGATTACACAGTGCATCTCACATAAACGAATATAATTACGTTAACTTTCCACGCTGGTTACCAATCTAGCGGAGTTGTGTACCCAACGCGCGCTCACTTTGCTTATTAGCATATGACTATGAAGAATGGACCAACGCTATCTCACTGAATCTTTAGTTTATCTGCTATCTGACGAACCCAAATGCGACGTTCTTTCAGGACTAATTTTTCCCCTTTATAATAATTTCTTCTATAAAGACTGTGCAGAGGCTCATCGTCTTTAACTGGTCCTCGACCTTCTTTAAACAGCCTAGTCCACCTTTTGATCGTTGTAATTGATGGAGCACATTGTAAATTAGTGGCCAATTATTCCTCGATAATTTCTTTGGCATATTTACCTTTTTTTTGCGAGGTACTTTATCAGAGCACTATATTTAAACTTCCAAAAAGACAAAATTTCGCTAGATACGTTGTTGCTTGTTTGACGTTTACCCAATAACTGTTATATCAGTCACAACCCATCTGACATCTCAGCTATTATATTATGTGTGTACCCATACAGTCCAGGTTTTTCTGAACATATCTTTATGGACG